TTGCTGTTGTTTTTCTAACGTGTGTGCTGTTGTCCGTTTTGTGGCCAGGTACACGTTCTAGGGCCAGGACCTGATTCAGGCCCAGAGGCTGAGCCTCCAAAAACGTTTGGACCGTTTTTTTGTTTTCGGACAGATTTTGGACCATTCGGACCTGGACCGACGTTCAGGCCCGATGCATTCGCATAGGCCCTGAATTGGASSAGGTRCCGAACAGGCCAGCCCTGGGCAGGGCCTGGACGTCTCCAGGTAGGGACCCAGGCAGGCCGTTTTAGGCCAAGGGCTGAACCAGTTTCGCGATCTGGACCGTGGATCGGATTTCGATCTGCATGGTCCAGAACGCAGGCCGTGGGGTTTCAGTCCTGGCCCAGCGCTACTTAAGCTGGGCCGTTGCCCAGTTCGGACAGAAGGTACCARGAGAAATCCAGCGTTATGCTGGTTCAGGAACTTGGCTGCTGCGCTATTTTGGAGACTGCAGCTGCGCTGCTTCCCAGCCCATGATGATAATGATACGAATGTGTGTTGTTGATTTCTCGTTGGTTCATACTTTGCACCGTGCACATTGACATCTCGTGGATGTTGCACCTATGCTGCTGGTTGTTGCCACTTTCGTCATTGCTAGATCCTAGGCTCTCAGTGCATTTCACTTTCTGATATGCTACAGTCCCTGAGGCCAGAGGCCTAGGGGTCCTTTGCCGTGAAACTGGGCAAAACGCGGTATTTTTGCTGGCAAACTATGGGAACGCGATAAAGCTGCAAGGAAACCTCTATTTTTGCACAGGAAACTTCGAGCGGACAACATTTTTGCTGCCAAACTTCGAAACAGCAATATTTTTGCTATTAACCCTAAATCCTGTGTTGGGAGTTTTTTATTTCCTTCTTTTCAGGCCGTTGAAGAAGTTTTAATGTGTTATTTATTATTATTATTATTATTTTTATGTTTAACCACACAGCCCCATCTATTCTGGGGGGCAATTCACATCTGAATGACGAAGAACTTATGGCCAGGTAGGTAATGTTCCCCGGAAGCAGATCGGAGGTTTCTGTTCCCCCGAAAAAAGGAGGAGAAAGAGATTCGAGCTTCGGAGAGAGAGAAGAGAAACGGGGATGTTTTCTTTCGCAGTTGTGGAGGCTGTCACATCTTCGCTTCAAGAGTTGACATTAGACTGGTTGTTGTAGTTCTTTCCCCTCCCCCTTGCTAACCATGAAACTTAGCACTACGGTAGCGTACATACGTTTTTGTCTGAGTCTTAATCTGCGCCAAGTCTTCCTTCAGTGCTCGTTGGTTCGCTGTTTTGTGAAGGGTTGAGCTTGACTAGGAGAAGTGCAAATCTGTTCGGATGGAACGACTTTCTCCGGCAGGAAAAGGAACGATCATAGTCACATAGGGATCCTCAGAAACTCTTAATTTTTTTCATCATCATTATCATCATCATCAGGATTGAGATAACCACGCTGCTGTGTTCGACCTTGTAGACTAAGACTTCAGCGCCTGCTTGCGCTGGGATTACCGTGTCATCTTGCGTGTTGCTTTTTGCGACAACAGGTCTGTGTGCGCTTCATAGCATTCTTGCAGCACTTGCGGGGCAATCTGGCCTAGACTGTTCACAAGCATCAGCACCAACATCATCGTGCTCACCATCAAGAACCAGCCCGCCCCCCCCCCCCCCCCCTCCCCCTCCGGCCAACTTTGTATTTGTCGCTCGCAATCGAGGCCAGAAGTGTGGGAGGTTCTATAACGGCCTTTCACTTGACTTTTGCACCCTTGTTGTGGGCGAGTAACGCTATCGTCTTCACCCGAAGAGAACGCCCGGTCATTATAGCCGTATTTGGTGTAGTTCTCAGTCCAGATACGGCTATGATGACCGGGCGTTCTACTCGGGTGAAGACGGTAGTAGAGCCCGAGGTGAAGAAATGGCGGGAAAGGTTGTCACAGGCTATACCGGCGTGCAAACACGACGCGAACAACTCCGATGAAGCAGATATGGCGGGAAAGCTTGTCTGTCACAGGTGATACCTACTCACCCATACCACCACTAACGTCCCGTACCGTTAACAGAATGCCTACGCTGTTTCGTACCCTTAACTGAATGCCTACCCTGTTTCGTACCGTTAACAGAATGCCAGCGCTGTTTCGTACCGTTAACAGAATGCCTACGCTGTTTTCCTACGCATTGCAGAACGAAGCCGGAAACAGCCGAGTGCCGGGTTGGGTCGCAAGAGCTGCTCGTTCCGGCGTTCGTAATTATTCCATCTTATTTAAGGTGCTTAGGTTATTTCACAGCGATCGAAGGTCTTATTACAGCTGTCGTAGATTCCGTTCAGGAGACAGAGGACAGCAGAAAGGCGAGTGGGAGGCATCCCCGCAATCACAGGCTTTTTACGGCTGTCAGCTCCTCCTCCCGCCCTTCAAAACTGAAACTTTTAGTCGACATGCCTAGCACGGTATTGCCGACTGACAGGGTGATAGAACGCCGCTGGTTCACCACAGGTGAGCTGGGAGGCGATGACTCCGATTTGGGCCTCGTTCGTGGCATCTCTAAGGATTTGCCGCCCCCTCGGAAAGAGTTAAAAGCGGGATTAATTATCTGGTTGTGCTAGAATACACAGAGAAAAGACTGAGCTGGATCGTAATGGGCGCAGGCGTTTTGTGGGGAATCTGGGGAGCGAACGCCCAAGCATTCTATATTTGGGCCAGCATTTTCGGCGTCGAAATGACGCTGGCATTGGCGTGGAAGGTACTTCCGAACTACTACACAGGTGGAGTGGGGTGCTGTTACATAATGCTGCAGCTGGTAGAGGAGGAGGGTCGTTATCATAGCTACGTTGCGGCGGTGTGCCTCTTGCGAATGGCGGGGATAGTAATACAGGGAGTGTTGGCTGGGACGCTGGCTTCGCGCATTTGGCGCCCCCACTCGGTTCCAATTGCTGATTATGAGGAGCCAATCCACATCTACTGTGGCGCCGCACTTGGGCGCGTTCTTTTCTCACTGATAATTCTCCTCTACAATTTCTTCTTCAACTTTTTTCGTCTCACATTTTCGTCGTTTTGGTTTGGCGTGATGAGACTGCTTGCGAGCCTAGCCTGCCTAGCACGACAAGCGGTCTGCTGCGGATCGCCCTCTCGGAGGCCAAGCGCAGCAAATCAGAGCGGAGAGAACTTGAATAGATCGTCACCGGCCGTAGATGAGGAGGATGCATCAACTCCCTTTTCTTTTTCACGCCGTGTAAGAAACAGAAGATTTTGGCCTCGGTCCGAGGAACTGGAGGGTCTATCGGCTCCAGTCTGGTATTGTCATTCCAGTAAACACTATGTTTTGCCTCCTCTGTGTGCCTATCTAACAGATCTGAGATGCGGACAGCCCGGTGAGAGTTGCGGTCTGCCCGCACATTGGTTCCTTAGCGTTGAGCACCTGCGGAGGAGGCTGAGAGGGCTTTTTATCCATTCGGCCAGGCCAATCAACTGAGTACTAAGGAGCAGGAGATGGGCTTGGATGCACTGGGACGTTACGCCGAAAGGCGGGACCGGCCCGTTTGCGACTTGATTGTCAGAAAGGGGTTGGGTGATGGAGCTCTGCAGCATCGCCACCACCCATAAGTCCGTTGGATGCCGAGAACGTGCGGCCAGGATCCTATCTTCCTTGTCAAACACTCTCACTACCGAGCGGATGGAGGAGAAACCCGATCCGTACGATCCGTTCAATAACATTACCGTTTCTCTCCTGGACAAAGTGGGACTGCATATGCTCAATTGTTTAGCCAGCAAGGCCTCACCTGATCTCCAGGAGCATGCTGCGGGAGCACTCTGCGGGCTCTCCTCGAGCTACGGGGTCTCAGAAAGGCTGTTCTGTGGCGAACTGGGGAAAGATTTGAGCGTTCAGCTGGTCGACATAGCAGCAGGCGAAGGATTGACAGATACCACACGTTGGTACGCCTTGCGGGTCTTGATCATGGTTACGGCAGGCGCCCAGCGTTCCGCCCAGTCAGACGGAGAGGAGGCAGAGAACTACTTCAACCGTGCAGAAGATGAAGTGTCCTGGATGCTGCCCGCTCGGCGCGCTTTTCGAGAGTCAAGAGCACTTCCACTGTTGGTCGGCCTGGCTCTGTCTCACCGGGCCTCTCCAGGTTGCAAGTGGCAGTTAGCTCTTATCTTCTTATCTTATTACGTACGGCTTGAAGCACCTCGCCTCCTTCTGAGGTCGGCGAATTGACTCGTCTTCTTCAACTCCGGTGCGAACTACAGCCCCTCGCTGTAATCCACGTCCTCATGACACTCTGCGACTTGTTCGCGTGCTGCTTCTCAGGTGACCGCCTCCCCGGCGAGGAACCCAACCGCAGCTCGGAGGTCGTGATCGACGCAGCCGTCATCTGCAGTCTGATAACACAGGAGAGAAGAAGGTTCTTCACCAACCTTGCTCGATTCCAACTCTTCATATCCAGAGAATTCGTGGCCAATGAGCGCGCATGGCTGAAATTCATCTCCACCTTTCAGACATACGAGGGGCCTCTTCCTACCCTGCTCTGGGCCTCCTGGAGCCCTGCTAGACTGCTGTCTTGTCTCCTGACCAACCACTTCGACCTTCTAAGCAACGAGATTGACGAGGTCTACGAGGACGACCACAGAACCACTCGCTGCGCTGGAATAGAGGACGTACGGTCGCTGAGAGTGGCAGCTATGTCAGTGATAACGTTGAGTTTGTCAGAGCTGATTGTCCAGGAAGAATCAAAGAAGACGAGGTTGAGTGCCTGCAGAGCTCTCACGCGATTAGCAACTTACAGAGGCAACTGTCTCCTCCGCTATGTTGCCCTAGCCTGGAGATATCACCTCAGACACTCTGTTCACGACAGCAGTATGGAAAACGAGACTGAGTTTCGCAAGCTGCGGGACCTCCTCAGGAACTACTCCCCCAGCTTTCGCCTCAATAGGTGCGACAGTGCGGGGAATGGCTAGTCAAAGTTAGGCCGCCTATCTTTCGAGCTCCGTGTGCTCGATGCCTCTCTCTCTCTCTCTCTCTCTCTCTCTCTCTCTCTCTCTCTCTCTCTCTCT